AGAAATGAGCAAGAAGACACTGAGGAAATTCAGACTCAGAAGGGCATACTTTAAAAAAATTTTACTAAACTGAAAACTCTAAAAGGTGTGAATTTTAAAAAACGTGATAATCCAAAGTTAAACTAAGATAAAGATAATAATTTAAACACACCTATAACAATCAATAATATAAATCCAAGAATTGAAAATTTTCCAACATAACAAAAAAAAAAAAAAATGTTCTCAGATGCACAGAGAACAAATTCTACCAGGATATCATAAAAGAACTAACAATACTACTCAAATTATTTTGTAAAATTTAAAAGTAAGATACTCTTTGAAATTCTTTTTGCATGTCTAGTATTATCCTGGTAACAAAACCAAAGGACCAACTAAAAAAGAATACTACAGGTAAATTCCCATTATGAACACAAAAGAAAAAATTCTCAGGAAAAAATTCAGAAACACACCAAAAAGATCACTGACCATGATCAAGTCATCAAAGAGATGCAGAGAAATCTAACATATATAAATCAATAAGCAATCTGCCACATATGCGAGACTTAACAGATACTTCATCATAACCTCATTACACCCAGAAAAGGTCTTTGACAAAAATCAATGAGCATTCTTTTATGATAAAAGTCCCAGAGAGTGTAGGAATACAGGGGATATATATCATTAAAGGCAATATACAGCAAGTCCAGAAACAGGATCTCACTAAATGGAAAACAAAGTCACATCATTTCGGCTAAAATTAGGAATAAGACAAGTATAGCCATTTTATCTATTCCTCTTTGATATAGTGCTTGGAGTCTTCAGTAGATAAAAGGAACAGAAGTAAAAAAGGGAAATTCTTATTTGAACATGATATAGTTCTATTCACAAAAAAAAAAAAAAAACCCTAAAGACCACCAGAAAACTGCTACAAATAATACATTCAGAAAAAAAAAATCAATAGGCTTTCTATATATCAATAGCAAAAATACTGAAAGATAAGAAAAACAATCCAACCCATGAATATATAAAAAGAATAAAATAAATTTTAAAAATCATTATATGAATAGAACTAGCTAAGGAACTGAAAAACTTGTACAATGAAATCTTGAAGAAAGAAATTGGAGAAAATAACAAAATGAAGACCTCTCATATCCAAGGATTGGTAAGTTAAGGGTCATTCTTCATAAGCAACCTCCAGATTCAATGTATTCCTCACCAAAATTCCAATGCAATTTTTTACAGAAATTGAAGATAAGAATCTCAAAATTCATACAGAAATATGAAAGACCTCGGAAAGACAAAACAGCACTGAACAATAAAAACACTGCTTGAAGTATCATCCAAATTATACTAGAGTTATGGTAATAAAAACGTTAGTACAGCAGCATGAAAACAAACATTGATCAATGGAATAAAATCGAGAGCTAAGCTCCTACAGCCACCTGACAAAGAAGCTGAAAACACACTGGAGAAAAGACAGCATCTTCAACAGATAGTATCAGTCAAACTGGATAGCTACTACATGTTGAAGAATAAAAATTAGATATTAATTTTGACCCTACACATAGGAATTGATACCATGATCTAATAGGAACTACATATCAACTTATAAGCACAGGAAAGTACTTTCTGAACAAGATCCAGTACAAGATCCACTACCAGAGGCATTCAGACTAACTTAAATAAGACCTAAAAAAACCTTAAAAGCTTTTATAAAGCAAATGACACCATTATTCATGTAAATAGTTTATAGAATGGGAAGGAGTGACACATCTGAAAGAAAGTTGGTATCTAGAATATAGTAGAAAATCTTCAAAAACGAGACAAGAAAACAAAAAAATCCAATTTATAGAATAAACCCACTAAAATCTGTGCATCTAAACAAACTAAGCAAAAGAGAGGATCCTAACTAAAATGTTCAATCCTGAAAGGCAAAGAAGATGAAGATCAGAAGAAAAAGAAAACAGTAAACAACCTCGGAACCTGCCACAGAGGGCCTCTGAAAGCCTCTGCAGTGCAGACTGTCAAAGCAGATGCTGAGCCTGATGGCCAACTGATTGAATTTTATGTAAGAAGTGGGAAATAGTAAGAGCTGGAGAGGACAGGAACTCCACAAGGAGAGCAACAGAACAAGAAAATTTGAACACAGGGAACTTCCCAGAGACTCATACTCCAACCAAGAACTATTCATGGAGATAACCTAGAAGCCTGACAATGCAGCCACTTCTGATGAGAACTGATAGACTAAGATCAGAAAGAAGGAGAGGAGGACCTCCCCTATCAGTGGACTTGGGGAGGGGCATGCATGCAGAAAGGGGGGGAGGAGGGTGGGACCGGGAGGGGAGGAGGGAGGGGCTTATGGGGGGATACAAAAGGAATAAAGTTTAATTAATAAAAGTTAAATAAAAAATTTAAAAAAAAAAGAAGTAAGAAATGTAAAAAAAAAAAAAAAAAAAACTGGCACATGAAACTAAACAGAGTTTTCAAAAACTGAAATACAAATGGCTGAGAAATATTTTTTGGTTTTGCTTTTTTTCCAAGACGGGGTTTCTTTGTGTACCCATGACAGTAGACCATGGTGGTCTCAAACTCACAGCAATTCCCATGCCTCTGCCTCCCTAGATTCTTGTATTAAAGGTACGTGCCACATGCCCAGCAATATTTTCTTTTTTTAAATGTCTTACATCTTTACCCATAAAAAAAAAAAAGATAACTAATAACTAAAACATTTTGATTCATCTTACCTCAGACAAATGACAACAAATTCTGGCATGATGTGGGAGAAGAGTCTTTATGCTCTATTGTTAGATGTGTAAACTGGTAGAAGCAACTCTGGAAACCATATGGCGTTAACTCACAAAGTTAAAACTAGATATACCATATGACCCAGTAACAGCATTTCTGATATACTCAATGGAGTCTTTATCTTACTATAGAAATATTTGCTCCTCCATATTTACTGAGGTGGTATTCACAATAGTTAGGAAACAAAAGAACCCTGAACACCTACCAATGGAAAAAATGTGTAAAGAAAATGTGCTATAAATAGAATGCTACACACCTGTGAAGACAAACTTAATTATGAAATTCACAGGTAAATTCATGGAACCATAAATAATCATTCTGAGTGTGGTAATTCTGACCCAAAGAACGAATACTGCATATGCATTTGCACAAGTGAGTGCTAGATGTTGGCTTTGAATATGTTTAAATTAGAGTCCTCAAAGAAAAAAGGAACCTAGTAACTGTCACTGACAGAGGAGCAGGGAAAACAGAAAACAGAATGCATGAAAATGAAGGGAAAGAAAAGTAACAATATGAAATGTTAAATGGGGTGGAAAATCAGGGGAGAAGGTAAGTATAGACAGGGCTAAATAATACTAATTTTTTTAATGGCATATGAGGACTTACTATTCTAGAAGTTACCAAATACATATATATGTAAATATATATGTATATATAGGAGAAAGGCATATACACATATGGTATATATAGAAGTGTGTGTGTGTGTATGTGTGTGTGTGTGTGTGTGTGTGTGTGTGTGTATCTAAGTAGATAGACAGACACAGAGTTTAAATGGTGTCATACTATATTTAAATAAAAGCCCAGTGTCAGATATGGATTATCTTTTTGAGTTGTTGGTCAGTAAGGTATCCCAGACATTGCCTCCAAAATTGCTGGCTATTGCCACTGTTCTTGGTTACACTCTACAACTTGAGGAAAATACCACACACTTGATTCACAGAACATGGAAAAATCAAGCTGGTACTGACCTGGAAGCTTCATCCATACTGGCTAGCTTTCATAGCGCTGAAAAGTTATATGAATATTACTGGGGAAGAGAAGTCATCAACAGTCTTATCCAGCTCTGAACTCTGAGAACTAGAATAATCACTAGTCTGGCAAGACAAACTCACATATGCAACAGTGTATTCTAAACTGTTACAGTAGGAACACTAATACTATACTATGTGCTTGGATTTAGAGCATACTCCACAGGATGAAAGGTATGCCTGATACCATTAATTGGACCTAAACTCTTTTCCTGGTTGGGTCACAGACTTTAGGAAAAGACCTATCAGTATTATTCTGATAAGTGGACATAATGATAAACTGACACCTTTTCCAGTTCTTTGTTTTATAGCCATTAATTAGTGCATTCCTGCTCAACCTTCAGTCACAGAAGCTTTGTTTTGCAGTAGATGGTGATCAATATTAAGGCCCATATCTGGCCAGTGTGTGTATATTAAGAAACTGTGAAATCCTCAACACTAAATAGAGTATCTATATCATTACCCCTCCCTGCAAGGCTTGAGAATCATTATGGAAGAAGGGACAGAAAGATAAAAGCTGGAAAAAGTAGATATCCGCAGGAAAACATATCTGTCAGACATAACAGCACAATTTCACATATGAACACAAAGCATCTGTAATTGCATACACAAAGAGCAAGCAAGCCACAATGTTAGCATGAATAGAGAAGGAGATCATCAAATTCCACCCTAGCTGAGGAGCTATTGGCAACTGATGTCTCCTGGGGAACACACAGGTTTTTTGTTTTGTTTTTGTTTTGTTTTGTTTTCAAAGTGTGGCCACTGAGAAGCTATTCATACTCTAGCACATGATTCTTCACCCATGCAAATACAGGTATCACTAAATTGAGTCTGAAAGTTTGAAAAAAAGAAAGAAAGAAAGCTGATTATGTTTGGAGGAAAAAGTGATGAGGGGGAGAGTTAAAGATTTGATGAGAGGGAATAGCAGATTTTGTCAAAGCATATACTATTCACATATTAACTACTCTAATAAAAAATTAAAATATATAAATCCTAGTAAATATATCTTAAAATATTTAATTAGTATTTAAATTAATTATTGATGTTATAGAACATGAGCTTACATTTCTCTTCACCTATCGTAAGAGTGCTACTTAATAATCTAAGACATTATTCCATTTTAATTCTTCTTAAATAGAAATCCCACAAAATAAAAAATCTACTTGTAAAAAACAAACAGAAACAAACCTTGTCAAAAGGAATGCCATACTTCTTCAGCACTGAGGGGGAAATCAGTGTCATCTTGTGGCGAAGAAATGCATCACAGCCTTGGGAGCTACTTGGAAAAAAGCCTAAAGATCAGCAAAAAATAATATGTCAGTTAAGATAGATTTCATAAAACTTTTAAGATATAATTGAGCTCTAATGTTCTCATAAATTAAAAAGTGACACATATATATGTTAAAAGGTTAATCTTTTCAAAAATATTTACCGAGAATTACATTTATAAATACAAAATTCACTAAATTTTAAGAATATCAGTTCAACATACATTTGAAATATAGTTGCCTAATATATAGTAAAGAAACCTACTATCCAAACAGAAACTGAAAGTAAGAATACATTTATTATACACATCCCTCAATGGAGAACTAAACATTCTGAAAGTACTACCGACAAGCCTGATACACAGTATGCACCAAACAGTCCCCCATCTTCTTTTGTTTCCTTCCAGTAAACTTCATACTAACCACTACTAACTTACCATATACTATAATAACTATGTTTGACAACAATTAATTAAATTACTTCAAAATTGTAGACAGGATTTTAATATCTCTAACATGAAGAAATAACAGATTTCACCCTTGAGCATGGTATAAGTGTTTAAATTATACTATACAACATAATTACTATATGTCAATTAGAAATGATAATTTAAAGCAGGCATGGGGAGGGGAGAGGAGGGAAGCGGAGGGGAGGGGAGGGAAGAGGAGGGGAGGGGAGAGGAGGGGAAAGGAGGGGAGGAGAGGGGAGGGGAGAAGAGGGGTGGGGAGGAGAGAGGCAAAGAGAAAAGAAATAATTTAGAGGCTGCAGAGAAGGTTAAACTGTTAAGAGTACTGGATGCACCTGGAAAGAACTCAGATTTGGTTCCCAGCCCCCACATGGTGGCTCATAACTACCTGTAATCAAGTTCCAGAAGCTGTGATGCCATCTTCTGACCTCCACAGCCTCAAGAACAAAAATAGTACATATACACACTTATGTGCAAACAAACATTCATGCATATAAATAAAATAACCTTAATTTCTTAAAAAGCCTTTCTGAGTCAACATACACTAAATGTCTAGAAATTTGCCTTATTAGCTTATATGGGAAATAGATTTGGGTAGGCTTTAAAAGAGGAAGCTAAACTTTCAGGAAATCTTTTATTCAACAGTATATTTAAACATCCAATAACCGTGTATTATGCTTTAGTTCACAGCCAATTTTCTCCATCACTGCCTTCAAACTAGCTGAGGCATCCTCTCATTACCGTAGTGATACAGGGGAGAAAAAAAAATGAAACCTGGCATGTTTGCTATTTTGTTCAGCCCTTTCTCCTTCAAAAGATGAGCAATTTCACCACAGAAGGAAAAAAAAAAGCCATATTGAGGAGAACGAGAAGACGGAGAATGAAAGAGAACAGATCCAGAGGAAGCAAGAAGACACCCAGAATGATGCACATAAACAGAGGGAGGGAACAAAGGTACTCTGTGACCACATAACTAAAATGAAGAGAAGACTTGCCAGCATATCACTTGTCTAGCTAGCCGTGTTGCTCTACACACAAACTCAGAGTAGGCTACTTTGATGAAAATACCAATAGCATTCATTCAATTAATTGCAAAAAAAATCTTATAATGTCTTGATTTTGTGTTAGATTGCATTCAATTATCCTCAATCACAAAAGCCCTATTGGTAACAAGGTAGACATGTTTAATCTGGAACCATCTTAACCTTGTAGAACTATTTCCCAGAAATTTTTAGATAATTTAAATATTTATGCTACAGTGGGAATTAAGGCCACAACTCATATTCATATATATGTAGAGAGAGAGAGAGAGAAACAGAGACAGAGAGAGACAAAGACAGAGAGAGAGAAATAAGGGAAGGGGGAAGGATGGGAAGATGGGCAGACAAGGGTGGGGTATAGGGTGCAAATAGCCAGTATACAAACAAAGGAATTTAAGGAACAACTTGGCAGAAAAATGTACATTTGGAAGCTAGACAGTTGGCTCAGCAGTTAAAAGCCTACCTGTTCTTTCAGAGGACCCAAGTCCAGTTTTCGCGTCACGCTAGGAGGCCCATAAACACCTGTATGTAACTCTATCTCCAGGGAATCTGATGGCCCCTTCCGGTTTCCAGGGTTATTTTCACTGACTAGCACATACCCCACACAAACAAGCATACATACACATAATTAATTTTCAAAATAAATTTTAGCAGGGCACGATGGTGCACATCTGTTAGCGCTGCACTAAGGAAGGCAGACGCAGACAAACTGCTGTAAGCTCAAGGCTTGCCTGATCTACAAAGCAAGTCCAGGACAGCCAAGGATACACAGAGAAACCCTGTCTCGAAAAATCAAAGATAGATAGAGATGAGAAAGAAAGAGAGATCATTTTTTTTCTTTAAGTACATTCTGCATTGGTTTAAAAATAAGAAAGGAAAGAAGATACAAAAAGCAGGAGAGACTGATAGAGGAAGAAAGTGGAGTACAGAGTTCATGAAATCTCTATGGAGACATTAGAAAAGGAAATCTGTAACTTTGTATAACACTATATGATTTTAAATTAAAATCACTAAAGAAAGAAGAATCTATTAACTTGCTTCTGAAGTAGATTTCTAATCAGGACGTGAACACATGAACAACGGGAAAACAGCATAATTTAACTTAAACTGGAAAACACTGAAGGAATGTAATGTGCAATATGTTACGAACTCTACATGGATTGAGAGTTTGGGTGGCCAAGAACATTAGACTAGATTTGCCATGGACATAGGGAAAAGCAAATACCACTGTTCTGCTAAATGAACACAGCAATAAAATGACTTCTAAAAACATTCTCTGACTCATAGATCAGTGTCTTGTTCAGCCATTATTAGAGAAGTCCCTTCCATAGTAGGTGGGAACAAATGCAGAGACCCATAGTTGGACAATGTGCAGAGAATGAGAGACTTTGTAATACTAAGCCTTAAATTTCATGTCTCTAGCAAATCCCTCCCCTCAGGAATCAGGGAACTCTGTGGAAGAGAAGGTATAAAGATTAAAAGAGCTGCCAGGCATGGTGGCGCACACGTGTAATCCCAGCACTAGAAGCAGGCAGATCTCAGTTCGAGGCCAGCCTGCTCTACAAAGTGAGTCCAGGACAGCAAGTGCAACACAGAGAAATCCTGTCTTGAAAAGAAAAACAAAACAAACAAACAAAAAAATTAGTCACCAAATGGAAACAAAGCAATTACCCAGTGAACAGGGTAGTTGGGACTGCAAGCATGTCCCATGACAGGTAGCCTCCCTATTAAATTATTACAAGAATCCACTGACAGGATCCATAAAAAGCTAAGCCTTATTAAAAGGCAGAAAATAAATAGCCAAGTACCTGGTCTGGCATACTTTCCCTTGAGCTGATTTTCAGAGGAACAGCAATGCCATAGCCATTGTTCTTGGTTGTCCACAAGAAAGTATAAAGAATATAAAGTATAGTATAAAGAAACTATACAAATTGGTCACAGGAACTAAAAAAATCAAGACAGTACTTATTTGAAAGCTTCTTCACTATTAACCTGCTTTTATATTTTTGTGTGACAAGGTACTATGCAGACTGCTAGAAGAGAAGTCATCAAAAGTCTTACATAACTGTGGATACTGCAAGCTACAATAACAACTGGCCTGGAGAGATATTTTCATGGGTATAATAATGGCACAAATGTTATGGGGGTAACCAACTTCTTGACTGACTTATGGCTTGCTTCACAGGAGAAACCTAACTCTTAGTACTATAAAACTGGCCAGGAGTCCATGACTGGGGAGATAATAAACTCCACAGGTGAAACTATTACTATTATTTTGCTAAATGCACATTGTATCAATCTGCTTTCTTTCTAAGTATGCATCTCTATATGCGTACATTAGTATATCTCTAAGTCTTCATCAGGAAAGTTTCTTTGTGCAATGACTAAGTATTTGTAGACTTATCAGTAAGTGAGACTTCTATATCATACACAACCCCCCAAGGATTGGGAGCATAGAGGAAGTTGGCTATAGAAGACTAAATGTCAGAGGTCAGAGGACTAGGACAAAATAGTATCTTCTGGGTATAACAAAAGTGCTAGACTTAAGAACCCATAGCAACTATGGTTGTCTGTAATATACCTGTACAAGATGAAGCAAATCAACATTCCAGCATGAACTGAGGAGAAGCTCACAATTCCCCATCCCTAGCTGAGGAGCTATGGATAGCCGACGAATAAAAGGGGAGGGAGAATAAATGTTCTTTAATGTTGTTATCTGTAGTAGGTTGGACATGGTCAAATAGATGGCCTTATTCCCATGCAAGTATAGGCAGCACTAATTGAATTCAGTGGGATATTTCTTAAAAAGAGGAAAAGAACATGGATGGAAGCCAAAAGGCACTGAAATATACTGTAGGCATGTATAAAAATCTCACAATATAAATTAAGATGTAATTTTGCAGGATGGAAACAGCCCAAATACTCATTAACTGATGGAAAGATAAATAAAATATAGTATTTTTTACAATGGAATATCATTTAACCATAGAACAAGAGTGAAGTCCTAATACAAGTTATACCATAAAAGACAACTGTAAGAAAAGTATCCAGGCATATAGAGAAAGGTAAACACCAACCCAGCTACAAAATGTACAATCTAGAGTGATGACCTGCCTGAAAGATATACTTACAGATAGTGGCACAAAGCTTGTGCGATTAATCAACCAAAATCTGATTAGATTTAAGGCCCTTTCTATAAAATAGAACCCAATCCTGACATTGCTCAGTTGGCCAAGAACCTGAGATTAGATACACCATGAACCTAAGGGAAAACCTAGTATTACTGTTCTACTAAAAGAATGTAGCAGCAAAATGACTCCTAAGGAGATTCTACTATAGTCACAGACAGTGCCTAGCTCAGTCATAATCAAAAAAGCTTTCTCCTACTGCCGATGGAAAAAAAACAAAAACAACAGAGACCAAAGGCAGATTTTACATAGAGAGTGACAGACCTTGGACACTGTACTAAATAGAATGTCTCCATCAAACCCCTCCCCTAAGAGTGCAGAGAACCCTGCAAAAGAAGAGTCAGAAAGATTATAAAAGCCAGTTGGGAGAAAGGACACCAAGGAAACAATACCTTATGAGCACAGCAGGATCGACACATAGGAATTAACAAAGACTGACAGCACGCACAGTTCCTGCATGAGTCTAAGGCAGATGAGGTCTGTTTTCCCAGTGTGCTTATACGCGTGCACTATCATGCCCAGTTTTATCAATTCTTAGAGACTGAACTCAGAGGCAATCATTCTATGAACTGAGCTGTATCTCTGTCCCCAATGACCCTTTTCAACATCAATCTGGTTAGCAGAAACTTCCACCCAATTTTTAAGTTGTATATGTCATTCTCACATGGATTTTTCTGCCATCTCTGAAGCTACTTGGTTTTAAATACCTTTCTCAGAAGAGACCTGACACACGATCATATGTGCACATCTGACCAGAATACTTCAAGAAATAATAAGGATCAGACAGATACAAAGATAACCAGATGCTTTTTCTGGTTTAAGCTCTACCCTAATCCTAAACTCAGAATCATAGAAATCTTCATTTCCTTCTATAATTCATCCCTAGTAACTGATAATCTCTAGATTATTTCTTCCTAGAATTACTGTGAGCTTACACAAATATTAAAAACAAAACAAATACTATTAGCAAGGTATGGTGGTGTAAACCTTTAAACTCCCACATGTAGGAGGCCTCAGAAAGTAGGTATCTCTGGGTTTGAGGCCAGCTTGGTCTATGTAGTAGTGAGACACAGTAATCCCCAAAAGGGGGGGGGGGTTGTCCCAGCTACATATTAGATACAAATTAACTCAACTCAAGCTGACAGATCACTAACTGCCTCCATGTAAAAGCATGAAGGTAGGTTTATCACTGGACTTTATTTTTAAGACTGACTTTATATGTATGAACATTTTGTCAGCTGTGTATATGTACGCCATGTGAACGCCCAATGCTGAAAGATCTCAGAAGATGGTGTTAAATTTCCTGGAATGAAGTTAGAGGTGGTTGTAAGCCACAATGTTGGTTCTGAAACTCAGGTCCTCTGAAAGAACAGCCAAGTGCTCTTAGCCATTAAGCCATCTCTGGAACACAGTCATTTCATTTTTTTTTTTTTTTAATTTCCAGAAACCCTTAAGGTTGACTATTTATAATCAGTGCTATTTTATTTGTTACCTTTTCTAAGTCAGACATTTTAAAAGGACATTTTCAGACTATCACTAAATAAATGCTTAAGTAAATAATATTTGCCACTTTGTTATAATAAAAGTACATCACCCTAATTCAAAAAGAAAGGTATTGAACACAAGTCAATCTTAAGTCTATTCGTGATCAAAATGACTTGCTGCTCCTATTATAGCTGCCCTTCTGATCTCTTGACAATACTCATGAAACCAAGCCAAGATTCTTAAGGATAGCTTCCAAAAAAACAACATATGTGCCAAACTGAGTATTATTTCAGGAAATACAGAGGATGGCTGCTTGCATTCCACCCATATAACTTTACCTACTCCCCAGCAAAAGGAGGCCTACAAATCAGGGTAAGACTCTACTCCCTGTGTGTCAACCCAACATTGCTAACTGGCCTAAAGTGCACACATACACTCACATATGTCTCTTACAATGCAGTTATATGTTCATTTATCAGTCCTTCTTAATAATTACTCCTCTGCTCTCCTTTACTAAATATTGCTATTGTAAATAAGGTTACAGCTAGATGCAACTGCTAGAATCCCATAATACTAATGACTCTGTAGGCTGAGACAAAAAGATCACCTGAGTATAAGGCATAGAGGCCAGCATGGGCAACATAGTACTAACATGCCAAATAAAATAAATAAATGCACACTTACAAAGGCTCCACTGAAAAGTAACTACTTGTTAAAACAATAAAAGTGAAAGACTATATACTGTCACAGGAAAACAGAAGAATACAGAACTTGGTAGTTACTCTCCCAAATTGGCTGTAAATTATCCTAAATCATATATCTTTTCTCAATAACTACAGTTTCCACCAACACAAGCAAAGTAATTCTCAATATTCTTAACTAGCATTACTTTATTCACAAAAGACAAATGGAATGTGCACATTCATTATAAAAACAATGGCATTCTCAGTTTACTTCAATTGGGTTTTGGAGTAATTTAATACAACAGCAAAATCTTTGTCTTTTTTCTATGACAAATGAGAGTGAGATGTGGATATTTTTAAAATGAAACATCATTTGCTCTGTTATTTTTTTTATTAAACTGTATAACTCTATTCTCTTCCAGATTTGAAATTCAACTGTATCAAACAAAACAGTGGAAAGAATGCAATGGCACATAACAAACACACAACTGTGTAAATTCACTTGAAAAATTTTATAATATTCATGTCCATAATACTAGGGAGAGGGCCTTGCATAAATTAGAAACCAAGGGCTAAGAAAGTAGTTCATCAGGTAAAGTGCATGAAATACAAGTATCAAGTTCAAGGTTCAGATCCACAGAACCCACCACTCTGTAAAAATGATACCTGTGCAAGCTGCTTAGCTTTGGGAAGACTCTACCTCAACATATAAGGTTGAAAGCAATTGAGGAAGACACTGAACACCAACCTCTTATGCACATGCAAAAATGCTCCCATACATTAGCCAACACACACACACACGCACACATGCACGCACAATTTTTTTAATAAGAAAGCAATTAAAGAACGTTGTTAAATGCAGGCCTGATAGCTTTCAGATAAACTATTCACAGGTGCCACAATCAATCAAGATTTCATTAGAAATCAACAATGAATGCACTGCGCATAAAAGGTAATGATTCCAGTGTACAGACAAGATAATGGAAAATATCTCAACCTGTTGTTCATTTTATGTATCAGGTGTTGTTTTCACTTAGATAGTCTACAATGCTATATTATATGTACTACATAGTTTTATAGCTCTAATTATCTGGTTGGTATCTACTCAATACACACAAATCCTTTATTGTCTTATAAGAACTTTTTTCACTTGTTCCTTTTCTCAAAATAGTACTGTAAATAGTTTTAGTTTCATGTTCTTGTTCATCCATCAAGTTGGTTGACTTTACTGACTAAAAAATTGCTCCTTCATCTCCCTGGGATATCATCTATCATAGGTTACATGATAAACTTCAGTGTTTGAACCCACACCATAAAGCTGACATTAGCTCCTTCTAAAGTTCTTCAGTAATGAGGTTAATTTAAATGTTGAAATAGGGGCTGAAGAGATGGCTCAAAGATTAAGAGCACTGACTGTTCTTCCAAAGGTCCTGAATTCAATTTCCAGCAACCACATGTGGCTCATAACCATCTATAATGAGATCTGGTGCCCTCTTCTGGCCTGCTGGCATACATGCTGGCAGAATACTGTAAAAATAATAAATAAATAAACCTTTAAAAAATAATAAAAATAAATGTGTAAATAGTTATTACAGAAGAGACTAGCTCAACATTTAGTATTAACACAAAGTTCTTTGCCTATACATTCTAAATATATGAAAATCATCTTATAAAACTCTGGTCTAATCTATCATCTAGCACAGTATTCAATTACTTCAGTATTCTTGAAAATAGTCCCTAAGTTCAAACTCACAATTAAACTATTATTACTGTAATATAAAACATTAAAAATAATTATTCCCACTACAGTTACAACACTACTTCTTATGAAGGTGATTCTATAACTATTTCTTTTAATAGTTTCCTATAATTTCAGGGAGGGTTACATTATAGATGCCATTATAATTTCTGATCAAAGTGAAGTTTCTCGATGTACTTATCTCATTTTTAAGTAAAAATATGTTACATGGAAGAAAAACTTCTGTTGTCATATTAGTAAAGGGAAAACCTAACACATAACATACATCAGTGCCTGAGCAGAAAAGTGCTTTTCTCATTCAAGACTGAGTCTTGAATAAAGACAGAATGCTCGCTACCAGTTTCAATTCAAATTGCTCTTACAAATAGTTCACAACCAGCTGACATCTTTGGGGAAAGGGTGCCTAGCAAACAAGATAAAGTTCAACATTAATTAAAAAAAAAAAATTGAAAATAGCTACAATAGATTGAAATAAAAGCTGCCCAATGAAATATTGCACAGCCAGCTAAAATTATAATAAATACTATGCAACAGAAGAAATATCACTAATTAATATGAAAATAAATAATATTGTTAAATTAGGGCAACATTTAAAAGCCAACAGTTTGAAGGGTACACATAAATAAAGTAAATAAATTGGTGAATTACCTCAAAACACAGGGCCTCTAGATAAGAAACTGAAAGCAAGTTTTACCTTGGGCTAGTCTTTCAAGTCGCTTTCCATGCTCCGGAGGTATAGCATACCTAAAATGTTAAGAATAAATAAAAATTGTATGTTTACAATATTTTAGGTAGTATATAAAGGATATTTATTCCAAATACCTTCATTTTCAAAAATTTAACACTAAACTGCACTTAGATGAACCAAGTAGAAAACAGGAAATAATAGAGGCTTTTTCCTTAGACACAGAAAGGAAGAAAAATTAACTACTTAAGTGTCACAGATCAACTGTAATTTAAAGGTTAGGGAACAAGACTAGTAAAGCTTACTAGTACAAGACTAGTAAACCTCATCTAAGTCCAGAGATCCTCCACTAATAACAGCATTCCTACGTAGTATAGGTATTTCTGCACATATACATTTATATTTTTCTTTGTTTGGAAGGTGCTGAGTTTTGGTATTATTTCAATGAAAAAATGGTTGCTATCTCTTTTTATAAATTATATTTTGTGTGTGTGTGTGTGTGTGTGTGTGTGTGTGTGTGTGTGTGTGAAGATCAGAGGACAACTTTCAGCAGTTGGTTCTCTCCTACCAAGGTAGTTTCTAGGGATCAATCTAAGTTTATCAAATAAGTAAGCACTTCTACCCGGTTGCCATCTCCCTGACCTGGTTGTAGTCTTTTAAATGTAGCTTTTGTTTACTTATTTACTTATTTTTTATTTATTTCATAATTACAACTTTTAAAATCCTGACTATAATTTTTTCACCCTAAAGAACAGAAATATTAATCTAAAGTTCCTAGTGCAGTGGATCTCAGCCTTCACAATGCTGAGATCCTTTAATACAGTTCTTCATTGTTGTGGTGAGCCCCCCAACCATAAAATTATTTTCAGTGCTGTTTCATAACTGTAATTTTGCTACTGTTATAAACTGTAATGCAGATAGTCTTAGAGGTAGAGGTTTGCCAAAGAGGTCACAACCCACAGGTTGAAAACCACTCTCTTATTACTTTAAAACATTCAGTATCTGAAATTATTTGCTAAATTTTGAATTTAAAAATCTCATGATCTGAGGTGGGCTGTGGTGGTTCATGCCTTTAATCCCAGCATTCAGGGAGGCAGAGGCTGCAGATTTCTGTGAGTTCAATGTCCACAAAGTAAGTCCAGGCTACACAGAAAAGCCCTATTTCAAAAAACAAATATACAAGCAAAAAAAATCTCATGATATACTGTATAAAACTAAATTTTAAGAAATTTCAATAAAAAACTTTATATATTGTCTTAGTTAGGGTTTTTATTGCTGTGGCCAAAAAGCAAGTTGAGGAAGAAAGGGTTTATTCAGTTTACACTTCCACATTGCTGCTCATCATCAAAGGATGAGTCAAGACAGGAACCTGGAGGCAGGAGCTGATGCAGAGACCACTGGAGGTATGCTGTTTACTGGCTTGCTATCCCTGGTTTGGTCAGCCTCCTTTCTTACAGAACTCAGGACACTGGCCCAGAGAGGGCACGACCCCCCATGAGCTGGGCCCTCCTCCACTGATCCCTACTTGAGAAAATGCCTTACAGCTGGATCTCATGGAGGCATTTCCTCAGCTGAGGTTCCTACCTCTCTGATGACTCTAGCTTGTGTCAGGATGACACACAAAACCAGCCAGTACAGATACTGTCAACATATCTAACAGTCACTGAATGAGTTAAGCAAGCTGATATACTGCTTTTAAAGATGACGATTTCCTGCTTACTAGTACAATACATACACTCAAACAAATTACTTTTTACTGATACAACTTTCTAAGCATACTTAATAGCTTCAATGTAAATATGCAATTCTCTAAACAAAATTAAACCATATGTTCTATCCATTAAAATATTGCTATTTAAATTTTACCAACTAAATTGGAGATGAAACTTTTAGCATTAGAAAATGAAAATAATCAATGTTTGGAATCAGTTCTTCCCAAATTTTCTTCATTGGTTTATACCAGAAATACACTCAGAGAAGAAAAAATTGTGAATGTGAATCATTCAAGGTAATTGCAGCCTCTTCATAACACACACACACACACACACACACACAGAGAGAGAGAGAAATATGCCATGTCTGCCCACAGAGAGAGAGAGAGAGAGAGAGAGAGAGAGAGAGAGAGAAATATGCCATGTCTGCCCAAAATGAGCTGGATGTGGAAAAGATATTTGTATATCCATACTCCTCTAAACAACTGGCAAGATTAAATTATCTCAAGTGCAAATTTAATTATTAGTTCACAGAAAAGGCAAGTGCATCATTTGTTGATAAAAGAAGAAAAGGCCTGGTGGTGGTGGAGCACGCCTTTAATCCCTGTCCTCTAAAAGCAAAGAGAGGTGAATCTCTGTGAGTTGGAGGCCACCTGGTCTATAGAGTGAGTTCCAGGACAGCCAAAGCTACTCACAGAGAAACTGTCTCAAAAAAAAAAAGAAAAAGGAGGAAGAAGAAGAAAAAAGAAGAAGAGGAGGAAGAAGAGAAGGAAGAGAAGGAAAAGGAGGAAGGGGAGGAAGAGGAGGTGGAAGCAAAGAAAAAAGTAGAAAAGTGAAAGTTAATATTGGTCTATCCCAAATCTGTTCCTCAATTTACTTCTGGTATATGAATCACTCTCATTAGATATTCTTCTACAACCCTACCCTAAACTTCTAAATGGCTGAGTGCACTACTATGAAGAGATTATCTATTTATTGTGTCTGTTTAGGGCTGGAGACATGAGTCATTGGTTAAGAACACTGAATGCTCTTGCAGAGGACTCAAGTTCAATTCTCAGCCCCAACAAGGCAGCTCACAACAGTCTGCAACTCCTGTTCCAGGGGATCCGACACCCTCACATAGACATATATACAGTAAAAACACCAATGTACATAAAATTAAAAAAAAATAAGTTATTGTGTCTGTTTTTCCTTTTAGATTTATAATAATATCTTGATCTATTTATGACCTCTCTAAAAGACCCAATTCATATTACAATTATAAAAAAATTCAAATAAATTCTTATGATCAATTGGACATTGCTACATTTTAATATTCTCTGAAATCATTAAGGGATAAAAAATTTCCATCATTGCCCACAAAGAAAAAATAAAATATTTCCCAAGTAAACTTTAATCTTTATATTACTAGCAATTCTATGGTAACATTCAGCAAAGTACAAAGCAAAAATAAATTCTGGAAGACACTTTCACTGTCCTGTTATAAAGACTATTGGCAACAGCTGTGCTTACATGAACAAAATGTGTCTCCCTAATAAGGGAGGCACAATGATTAGATATTACAGGTACAATTTCTTTGAAAGTTAGCACTGATTAGATATTGCATAGCAAATTTTCATTGTAATCCAGTATCCTAACCAATTTTACATTTTTCTTATTTTTAGGGTCAAGAAAACAGAATCCCTTCTAAGTATGTCTTTGAGTCATTCACTCAAAAAAAAAAAAAATGAAACTTTTGGTCAAAATACTTTAAAACTTTTCTCCATTTACACTGATGTTAGCTGTCACAAAAAGACACACACAAAAATAATGTAAATGTTTCTTTAAATGATCCATAAATATTTTTTGTTATCAGTTATAACTCCATTTTAGTCTTCCTAGAAGTTCAGCTAGCAGCTATGTACAAAATACTTTCAGGATGTAAATCCAAATGTTTCACTTTCAGCAACAAAAGTGAAGCTATCTTTCAAACAATGATGGATGACATATACAATCAAATGAATTAATAGGTCAACTTAAAATCATTTCTAAGTATTTTTTTTTCTTATTTAGGGTAAATCTCTATGAACAGTGATTAATTTCTAGAGTATTTTCTTCTCACCAAACAGCAAAAGAATACAGATTTTATCATTTCAAATTAGCCTTTAATAGTTACAATTAGAATGTATTAATGAATCTAAAGCTAACCAGAATAGGAAATCAGGAAAAAAAAAAAAAAAAAAAAGTTAAACATCAGTTATTTGCTGATTTAATGGATAGGCTACTAATTCCATATATCATTAACTATCAACAAGGGACTCGATACTATCTTAAGTATTCGACTGCACAGTATTTTAAATTTTCTATTATACCTATTGATTTGATGTATGTTAGAGAATGAGAGAGTATATATATATGTGTATATATGTGTGTGTATGTGTGCATGCCTCTGAGTTGTGTATGTGTCTGTGTCTGTGTGTAGACTAGAGTAAACTTGTTAGGGTTGGTTCTCTCCTCTAACATATGAATTTGAGACACAGAACTCTGGTCATAAGCACTTTTACACACTACGCCACCATACAGCACTATCCCCATACATTTTTTTAACATTTAGGAAAATCTTTTATGATTGTAGGTTTCCTATTTCAGATATATTCTTGTTCTCTACAAACCAAATCTAAAGGCTCTTACTGGTTTTTTACCCAGTCTTAAAAAAAAAAAGTTTCAAGTTACCATCTAAATTCTCTGTCATCTCTAACAATTAACCCTTTAATACATAAAAATGCTAGGACAGAAAAAAAACATCTTTTCTCTGCCCTGAAACTCCTACTCTACTGGACAGAAAAATACTGTGGAAAACTAATACGAAAAAAAAATTTTACTCCTGGGTATACACCCAGAAAACACCATAACTTGTCATAGACATATTTGCAACACATATTTATTGTTGCTTTATATATTATAACAAGGAAATGGAACTAACCACCAACCTAACTGTCCACGAACAGATGAATGAATGGATAATAGAAATCTGGCACATTTATAAAACAAAAGACTATTCACCGCTAAAGAAAAATGAAATCACAAAATTCTTAGAAACATGAAAGTATAATAACAAAGGTCACAGTCTCAGAAAGAAAAAAACTATGTGCTCTCCATCACAAGAGGATCCTCGCCTTTAATATATGTGTGAATAGATATATATATATGTGTGTGTGTATAAAATAGCATATAGAAAGGAGAACAAGAAAAACAAAATATTAAGGTATGAGTGAAAACAGGATGCAGGTAAAGCATAGCACTCAAAAAAGCAGATATTAAGCTAATTGTTTTTCTACTTTCAATTCAATCATGAACTTTTCAAGGTTTTTCTTTTGGTTCTTGGTTTGTTATTTGTTTGTTTGTTTGTTTGTTTGTTTGTTTGTTTGAGGGGGATCTTTGGTAGGTGCATTAAAGTATATTTGATAGTGACAGTGTCAAACCCAATGTGAAGCTTCTCAGAATGGCTGTTCTATGTAGAAGTTCATTGAGATGCATAGACTTTGGGATCAGCTAATCACACTGTGTGATAACTTTTTTATTTTTAAGTTCTTTTAATAATTTAAAATGAAATTCTTTCAGGATGTTCATCAATAAAATGTTCATTTTTGTTGTTAGTAAAATAACACAAGTTATACAAGGGGAAGAACTGGCAAGACAGGAATATGTACTATGCAAAGCATTCCAAAATGCTCTATCAAAGTGGAAACTAGAAGAAGCTACTCTCTTCTTATGTGATATAAGAGTGTTCCATGATGGGAAGTACCCCTGAATAGCATTCAAACCACAGTATCACCTATATTGTCAAAAAGATGAACCATATATTCCTGTCTGTATGTTAGCCTACAGATACATAAATTACAGAGAGCCAAGTATAGTTGAAATTGAAACTGACTACAATTAAAAACAAATCAAAAGGATACCAGTGTTACCAATAAGCTAATAACTACAAACAGGTAATGAATGTGGCATAAAAGTTACTTTACATTAGCACATTTTGAAGTCATTACTCAAAAAAACAAATAAAATAAAATGAACATGTCTCTTATCTTAACCTGTGGAACTATCACAGAGATGGAAAGTATATCACTAGGAGCCTATGGCCTATGTAATTTACACAGTAAGTTCAGGCCAGCTAGAGTTATACAGCAAAACCACATATTAAGTTAGTTTGGCAGTTCACACTTGCAATCCTAGCACTCAGGCAACTAAAACATGAGGATTACTATGATTTCAGGGCCAACCTGGGGTGAGAAGTGAGATCTCATCCTAACAAATAAATGCATCAACTTAAGTCAGTTGCCATTTAAACCAAATTAAATAGGCCCCCTGATCCATTCTTCCTGTTCTTCTAGCCCCCACACACATACATACACACACACACAAACACTGAGACTTGTCACTAAAAGGAAGCTGAACCAATATATCTCAAGATTACTTACATCTCTACACCCAAGAAGCCAAGTTTTAAATGCCTATCTCACACATAACTTCCAACAAATTCTCAAATAATAAAGGTATTTCATAATTTATTTGGGATCAAAATTATTTCTCAATCCACAGCCTACAAAATGTCCAGAGGAAACAAGTAGGCTTAAACTTTCTCCTCAAAACCCTGAGAAAAAAAGAATGATTACAACCCAAAACTTCCTTACACTCACTATATCAAGGAATTAATTCTCTTCAATAATAAACATCACTCAATGATTCACAAGTCTAATGGATATGAATATTAAACAAATGACTTGCCAAGACTTGGGCTCCCCAAAGTGGAGATAATTAATACTGTAGAGATCCATGTCCTCGGTGTGCCACGCAAATGTTGTTTTCCACATTCCAAAATACAGATAAGGGGTATTTACACCCTCAATAGAAATACCGCACTCTTCTTCAACCACATCCAAAACTGTATTTAGGCGAGCTATATTCCATTCATCCACACCCTAGAGTCAAGACAGAAGAAAGAGAGCAAAACCAAATATTAGTAAATGAAAATTATCATTTACTAATCAAATAGCTATTTTTCAGGTACTTCACTGCATATTTTATTAGTTCAAAATAGAAAATATAGCCATTATTCAAAAGTTATGAACATATATTCATTAAAATTATTCCAAAATGACTATCAACATATCACGTTTCCACATAATTATCAAGGTAAAATTATAAGCAAGAACTGCATGATTCACAATGAAATTAAAGGTGTGATGCTACCCAAGAATAATAATAATAATCTTTTAGTTTAAATCAGTTAATCTGGAATATGATACTGATAATTGGCATTCATTTAGATTCAGGGGCGGAAGATTTTGTTTATTTCTTGATTGCACATTAGTTTTGAGGACCTGTTCAGCATGAAACATAATATTAGGAAACCAGTAGCAAAAAATACCTTTTGACAGCACTCCCTCAGTCATTTCTATTTTCCTGTAGCATGTGATCCACTGTGTACTACAAATTTCATGCTACCGGAAAAAACTCACATTTTTCCAAATCACAAACCCTGTGGTCAAAATTTTAAATATATGATTTTGGCCTTAAAAAACAATTCTAGTAAAATTGCTTTAGTACTTTAGTTTTGTTTAACCCCATTAGAGCTAGTGATACAGGAGAGAAATACATGGAGGACATGAAGAAAGATCTAATTCTCTTACATTAATTTCAGCCTAGTCTGTCAGCTCTGGGTCCCTGGTGGAGAGAGGTTCAGTTGGTTTGCAAAGTAAAAAAGAACTGAGTATGGGCTAGAAGGAAAGAATGAATTACTGGTAGAATTACTGATATAAAAGTAAAAAGGGTGTTCCTGTGGTGTTAGTGTTTGTTTTTATTAAAACTGGCTAGAATGGTAATAAATGCCTATAGTTTTAGAACTCAGGAAACTGAAGCCAGAAGAAGAGTTCACCTTCAGAGCTTCACAGCAAGTTTAAGGCCAACCTAAACTACATATGACCCTTGTCTCAAAAAGGCAAAACAGTAATAAAATGTTTCAAAATAAGAAAAGATTCTGATTTTAAGAGGATTACCAATCAATAACTAATTTACTGTAAATCCCAGCTGTTTATAATGTTTTAATAAACTATAGTGTCTTCTCCCCATGCTTTCCTCAGTCAAATTCTAATATCCAGTATTGAGCACTTCCATATAGATTCACAGGGCAGCTATAAAATCCATGTCAGTCTCCACATAGTCCTATAACAGAGGGGCATAAAACCTTCTATGTAAACTAGGAGGACTCCCCCCCCCAATAAGTATTATCTAAGAAATTATCACTCCTATCATTTCCCTTTTGCACTAAGTCTTTAGTAGTATTCTGTTTTCATTTTAATCTTTAAATAATTATTTAATTAACAAACTATATCCTAATACTTTCACATAAGGAAAAATACTGATGAAACAGTAAAAAGGGGAGAAAAGAGTCAAACATCTCAGTGCCCTAAATAATTGTTCTATCTACAACTGAAGCCTTTAATGGGAACTTGATTAAAGAAGATAAAATTCTTCTTTAAAAACTAATAGGACTTAACATGAAATAAAATGGACTATGTCTACACAGGTTCATGAACACCAGAGGCTTAATCAAAGCATATCACAAAAAGGTTGTTGAAAGATCTAGAGAGGAATCTAGTGGCCTAATTCATCAGGAAAAACAATGAAAGTCAATCATGATAATTAAAGTATTTGGGGTTGTTTATAGGTTAAAAAAAATAACAAATTTTAGTAGCAAATGTCTCAAATTTCATTTTGCGATTTTTCTATTTCCCATAAAATTTACAGGCATAAAACTTATTTTTGTAGTTAAACTATCACTATTAAGTTAAAATATGTTTTTACAGAAACTTCAAAAAAAAATGAAAGATTTAAGCTGAACTTGATGATGCATGCCTTTAATTCCAGTGCTTCAAAGACAGAGGCAGAGAGATCTCTGTGAAATCCTGGTCTACAAAGTGAGTTCCAGGACAGCCAAGGCTGTTACACAGAAAAACTCTGTCTTGAAAAAATTAAAATTAAAAAAAGTTAAAAAATAAAATAAAAAGCAAAATATAAACTTAAGAGACCTCATAAAAGTTCAATAAAATTATGTAGATTATTTTCCCACTGACTTTATAGTAATTCTATCTCTTAACTCAAATCCAACTAAAATCAGTTCATACACTTTAATAAGAGTCCTATAACAAAATCTTTACAGGAGTAACTATTCTGAATTAATAACTAAGCACCATAATATAGGAAGCATTTTTATAAACTGAGTGACCATTCTAAGAAGAAACAAGATACTTCACTGAAATTCCTACATTAGAAAACACCTGGGGATCCTTAGTCCTACTGCAGTCTACCCACAGAAACATTACTTCCCAACCCATATTCATCTCCGACTGACTCAGCCTGATGGTACAGACCCAAGATACCCCAATTCTTCCTGAGAGCCTAACTCATCGTTTCCTTTTAGTGAATATTCAGTTCTTTTTTACATTGTAAACCCACTGAATCTCTCTCTACAACAGACCCAGAGCTGACAGACTAGGCTGAAATTCATGTAAGAGAATTTGATCCTTCTTCATGCCCTCCATGCCAGTCTCCCCAAACTTATTATTAGTACTGCTGTAGCCTGCTAGCCTAAGCCCCAACTTCCCAACCACCAGTATCTTGGCCACAGAGTCCCCAGGTTCTTCTTAGTGCCACCTCTCATCCCTTCCTTCTAGCTCATCTCCATTTTGTGACTCCTTTATGACCTGCAAAACAGCTCTCTACCAAGGACCCACAGCCACAACACATGGCTATAAACTAGGAATACAATAGCTACAACACTAGGCTAGGACATAGAGTGGGCAAGCCAAAACAAAAAACAACAACAAAAAAAAAAAAAAAAAAAAAACACCCACCCAACAAAGACAAGAACATTTATTTACACCAAGAAACACTTTAAATGCCCTAAATCCCACTTTAAAAACACAAAACATGAATAACCATGACAATACACCTCCTCCAGAAGCCAGCAACCATGCTGGACCCTGAGTAAAACAATTTAGCTGAAATACAAGACAAAGACTTCAAATTCACAATTAGAAATTATACTCAAAGACATTAAAGAGGATGTGAACAAATGCCCTTATGAAGATACATGTCTTTATGAAACATAAACAAACAGTTGAATAAAATAATGAAATCATGACAGTAGAATTTAAGAAAGAAATAGAATCACTAATTAAAATCCAACCTGAAATAAAACTAGAAATGAAAAACTCAGGTTGTTAAACAAAAAACTCAAAGGTAACCCTCACCAGCAAATTAAAAGGCACACACAAGAGAATTTCAGGTCTTGAGCACAAGAAAGAAGAAATAGATAGGACAGAAAGAAAAAAAAATGTGAAGTCTAAAAATAAACAGGGCAAAACATGCAAGAAGTCTGGGACTCTGTGAAAGAATTAAAGCTATAATACATATAGAAGAACAAATCTCTAATATAAATGAGAAGAACCCAAGGTTTAAAAGCATGGGAAAAAAATGTTAACAAAAATATGAAAGAAAATTCCACCAATCTAAAGAAAGAGATGCCTATCAAGGTAGAAGCAGACTACAAAACATTAAATACACAGCACCAATAAAGAAATTCCATACAACAAATAATCATCAAAACACTACTAGATATACAATACAAAGGATATTAAAAGGTACAAAGGAAAAAGACCATGTCTAAAAATCTGGACTGCGTAGTACCCAAACTATATATGTACCAAATATTATTTGAAACTGGACACTTGTTTAAATAATACATTTACATCTGATAAAAGAATATAGTATGAAAAAAAAGAGTACAGTATGGAACAACACATCAAAGAAAGTATTGTGGGAAGCAATCCCCTGAATTCAAGTAAGCAGACAGATATACTCGCATCTATTTTCATAGTACATGTTTACTCTGATGCTGCCACCTAGAAACACATGAAGATGTGAAATGGAAGTTTCTGGTTTCTTTGGAGGCTCAGTGGAGTCATGTGATATTTTGCTAGAAGCTGTTTTGTGAGAGGGCATGCAATGTTTTGCTGGAGGCAGGCTTGTGAGAGGGCATGTGATGTTTTGGTGTGAGTTCTCTCCTGGGAGGTGACTGACTTTGGTTAGGTGACAACATCCATGCTAGACTCAGAGGAGAGGAGATATATAGAAGCCTACAGACAATGAGACATCACTTTTTAGATCAACAACTCTACACTGATCTTTGCACAGCAACACTTGACTTCACAGGCAGAAACATTCCAGAGAACATCTCAGGGCATTTCAACTGAATCTTGCAGCTTTCACTGACTTGTCTCTATCTTCTGAATAGTGCTGATTCTTGTTGCTGTTTGGTGTTGGCCTTTGAACTGGACTGCTGGTATCCAGACAACAAAGAGTGGACTCATCCGAAAAAACTACTTCTAAAAAGGTTTCCAACCCGCTTTATCTAATAACCTTCTTTCTCCCCTATCTCTGGGTGGAAGGGAGGTAAAAGCATTTAGGAACCCTAAATAAAGTAGGTTTGGTGAAAAATCTAAGCCTACAAAGATGGTATCAATTAAATCCAAATTAAATATCAAAAAGATCCTTCTAAATGAAGAAGACTAGAAGTAAAAAGCCTTGATCAAATTGATAAAACTACCAAATTATTAACAGTGTGTACTTCACTTTGTTTTGTTTTGTCACAATGAGATACTTAGTAGTCTAGGCTGACCCTGAATCCCAGGGCAGAAATTACTGGATGTGTCACCACACATAGCTGTTAATAGAGTATCTGTACAAAGACATCAAGATTGCACATTCATCAAAGAATAAAACAAAACAAATACAACACACAAAACTTTTTGACTACCAATGAAGTTGAGAAAAATTCTATTTAACACACTTTTTCTTTCTTTCTTTCTTTTTTCCTTTCTCTCTTTCTCCTTCCTTCCTTCCTTTCATCTTTCTCTTT